ACGTACAACTTCCGGTTCAGTCACACCTGAGTGCAATACTTGGAAATTTCGAGACAAGTGAAATGCGTCTGAGCGAGATAACTCAGCTCCCAGGATGTGGGTAAATAAAGCAAATTGAGGTCGAACATTTAAATAAGCCGTAGCACAGAAGCGATTACAATACTTAAGCGTGCTTGGCACAATTTGCTAATTGAGGGAAACGACCGTCTTTTCTTAATTACGTATTCGTGACGTCTGCATCCTTTGTTTATACGCATTTCAAGATAGGGCGGCTTAATTAAAAGGAAACCTCGCATGTTGTAACATCACAATGACTAAATATATAAACCGCTTTAACAACAAGACACAATCGAAATATTTACGTTTTTTGTAAAGAAATTTCTGCTTATAAAATTGACACAAAACATAATTTGAAGCAACAGGCCTCAATTTAATGTCAATAAACAAATGAAATAAGAAAACGCAAATGGTACACGCAACATTCATTATCCGGTATAAATCTCAAAGACTTATCCAAAGGCGAGAGGTTATTAGCCACTCTGTATCAAAAATGCCGACATGAAAAATGTTTTAAAATAAAAACAATCTTTGTCCTCCAAGCAAAACTAAAACACGGATTTGATCACACCGGAATTGAACTCTTCCACGGCAGGATACGTCTTACTGGTTACCACGGAAACAGCGTTCTACGTCACGATAAGCGTCTCTGAAAAGTCTTCGCTCAAGAGGACGGCAGGTTCCTACGAACTACTATGCTCCATAAACAAAGGAGGGCAATATCTTGATCCCTAAACAGATTCCTTGTAGTTTTTATGCTATAGGCCAGTGGTACCTGGAGTACGCGGAGACATCTTAGGGGATACGTGAAATTAAAAAATATTATTTTATGATAAACACTGAATAATCAGTACTGTAATTTATTTTAGATGTAGATTATATACTACGTATAACTTGAATTATACACCAAGTTTGGGGGTACAAAGTTGAACGGAAATTATATCTGGGGGTAAGCGAAGATATCTTAGGGGGTACGTGAAATTTAAAAAAATATATTATTTTATGATAAACACTGAATAATCAGTACTGTAATTTATTTTAGATGTAGATTATATACTACGTATAACTTGAATTATACACCAAGTTTGGGGGTACAAAGTTGAACGGAAATTATATCTGGGGGTAAGCGAAGATATCTTAGGGGGTACGTGAAATTTAAAAAAATATATTATTTTATGATAAACACTGAATAATCAGTACTGTAATTTATTTTAGATGTAGATTATATACTACGTATAACTTGAATTATACACCAAGTTTGGGGGTACAAAGTTGAACGGAAATTATATCTGGGGGTAAGCGAAGATATCTTAGGGGGTACGTGAAATTTAAAAAAATATATTATTTTATGATAAACACTGAATAATCAGTACTGTAATTTATTTTAGATGTAGATTATATACTACGTATAACTTGAATTATACACCAAGTTTGGGGGTACAAAGTTGAACGGAAATTATATCTGGGGGTAAGCGAAGATATCTTAGGGGGTACGTGAAATTTAAAAAAATATATTATTTTATGATAAACACTGAATAATCAGTACTGTAATTTATTTTAGATGTAGATTATATACTACGTATAACTTGAATTATACACCAAGTTTGGGGGTACAAAGTTGAACGGAAATTATATCTGGGGGTAAGCGAAGATATCTTAGGGGGTACGTGAAATTTAAAAAAATATATTATTTTATGATAAACACTGAATAATCAGTACTGTAATTTATTTTAGATGTAGATTATATACTACGTATAACTTGAATTATACACCAAGTTTGGGGGTACAAAGTTGAACGGAAATTATATCTGGGGGTAAGCGAAGATATCTTAGGGGGTACGTGAAATTTAAAAAAATATATTATTTTATGATAAACACTGAATAATCAGTACTGTAATTTATTTTAGATGTAGATTATATACTACGTATAACTTGAATTATACACCAAGTTTGGGGGTACAAAGTTGAACGGAAATTATATCTGGGGGTAAGCGAAGATATCTTAGGGGGTACGTGAAATTTAAAAAAATATATTATTTTATGATAAACACTGAATAATCAGTACTGTAATTTATTTTAGATGTAGATTATATACTACGTATAACTTGAATTATACACCAAGTTTGGGGGTACAAAGTTGAACGGAAATTATATCTGGGGGTAAGCGAAGATATCTTAGGGGGTACGTGAAATTTAAAAAAATATATTATTTTATGATAAACACTGAATAATCAGTACTGTAATTTATTTTAGATGTAGATTATATACTACGTCCATATGAACCGGATCCTTCCCTCCTTTTCTCGGACTGGGACCTGTTCATATACGTTCTTGGCAGATGATCCAGAAGTGGTTTGCCATTGCCTTCTTCTGTGTGTGAATGGAGTAATTGTTGGGACGCCACGGAGGAAAACTCCGTGTTGCCTAGACCACGGCCTTGCCCAACACAAGTTATAAATTCGGACACCGCCGGGAATCGAACCCAAGACCCCAGGATTACAAGGCCAGCGTTCTAACCGCTAGACCACCGTGGCTGTTTTAAAACTCTACAGTTCACGAATCCCAGAACGGGCGTAAAAGAAACACTTCTTATTGGTCACACGCGTTTCGTTTCAGAGAATAAGAGTTGACATAATGTCCTGGATTCTCACCAGCATCGCATTTAAGATTCTTTTTGGCACAAAAGTACCGCTTTTTCAGACTTTATTTGCCATTAAAAGTGTCTAAAAGCGTGACCGACATAGGCTACAGGCGACAACACGCAAACTGCGATTAGATTAATTTTAATTTTCTCTGTTCTATTTTGTGTTTCAAACCCCACAAACACAGGAAATATTTATTTTCGACTACGATGGCTTCAGTTCAAATTCCTTCCACACATGCTGTACACACGTGTCTGCACAAACACACAAAAATACTGTCCCACAGCAGAATATCTTGTCTGAGGGCAGTTTTGTAACATCTTCGAAATCAACCGGAATCCGGAATTTTCATTCTTGTAACAAATTAAACTCTTCCACGAAAAATCCTTTTTGATACGTTTTAAATTCAATCCTTTCTGATATAAGGCTGTCTGGACTCGTAATTTACGTAAATAATACATTTTCGTTTTCCAATGTCCATTGTCTGAAATGTTTTGATTTTCACAGGATTCAGAACCTTGAATATACAACTGTCTTCGTGTTATATGATAACATTAATCCGACACAAAAATTAATAACGACTGTACTCAAAGAACAATGTCCTACACCCTAACCTAACCTCACTGTCAGAAAACTTTAGACAATAATTTATTTTGTGTTGCGGTTATTTGCAAGTAACAATTACTCTCTGCTTCTGTATTTGTGGGTACAAATTACTTTTAAGTCGATTATGATCTTTGAGTCGTGACATCGTGTTTTATCATAGGACGACAAGATTAAAATTAATGACGAAAAATGGCAGCTGAGTTTTGGACGCTTCTGCGCATGTACTGTCACGTGATTTCGTGAGCCAATCAGCTTGAATCACTTGCTGTACGCTTTCTCGAGTAACATTATTATTCGTGTTAAAAGATATTACTGTGTTTGTGTGAACGTAGCGTTTGCATGAGGCAAATTATTGGTATTTAGCATTAAATACACAATTGGTATTAAAATATGGAAGGTGAGTTTCGCGGAAGCCAGAGACCTGGTGTATAAAGTATTCAGTTGCTTGAAGCGTGAAGCACACGCCGCTAGGCAAGTCCACGATATTGCCAAATCGCGTGCGATATGAGCATTGTAAGTTTGGAAAGAATTATTAGCGAGAGAAACGTCGAAATTTGTATCCCTCCGCGCTTTAGCCGCCTTCCTGGGAATTTATTTTATTTATTTATTTATTTATTTAGTGTTCTGTCTGAAGACAGGTCCATATGAACAGGATCCTTCCATCCTTTTCTCGGACTGGGACCTGTTCATATACGTTCTTGGCAGATGATCTAGAAGTGGTTTGCCATTGCCTTCTTCTGTGTGTGAATGGAGTAATTGTTGGGATGCCACGGAGGAAAACTCCGTGTTGCCTAGACTACGGCCTTGCCCAACACAAGTTATAAATTCGGGCACCGCCGGGAATCGAACCCGAGACCCCAGGATTACAAGGCCAGCGTTCTAACCGCTAGAAACAAAGTGAAAAACTCCTGCTACTATTTGTTGTTACGTGCAAAGTAAAAATTAATGACTGTCTCCGGGCACCGAAGAACTGACTTACCGGTCGGTGGTCGCTCCTTGGGGTAGCAGATCCTGAAGAGACCTTTGGTGCGAGTGTAGTAGTAATACTTGGAGTTCATGTTCTCCAGCAGAGATTCCTGATCTCCTCGCTTGGCCGCGTACTGCTGCAACACCAGAAACATTTGAGAATCTTTCAGACCAGTGCAGCCAACTGGCACAATTTCTGAAACACGTGCAGCAAATTGGAACAGTCGTGAAGAACTGCATTCAACTGAAACACTTCATTAATCAACCACGTACAACCGGCGCATATTTTGTAAAATTTAAATCACTTGGAACATTTTTTGGCGCATTTTCAATACATTTAAAAACATTTTTAAAAACTGTAATGAGCTGGGGGGGGGGGCCCTAAAAGAATGAACATCCTTATCGTCACCATTATTCGCCTTCAATTTCTTAATCGATATTACAAATACTTGTCGATTTTTACAGCAAATTCAGCACGTGTAGTGGCAATTTCTTGTATGGTGAAGATTTCTGTCTTCTGGGTTGTTGCGCTGTGTAGTCTGGTCGATGTTAACCAACGTTTCAGAGGTCGCCCTGATGACGGAGGCAGTATGACCTCTGAAACGTTAGTAAACATCGACCAGACTACACAGCGCAATAACCCAGAAGACAGAAATCTTCATACTCTGATGACGGAGGCAGTATGACCTCCGAAACGTTGGTAGACATCGACCAGACTACACAGCGCAATAACCCAGAAGACAGAAATCTTCATACTCATCGCCGTGAAAACCTCAAATCCTTCTTGTATGGTCTTTAAACTCTGGGGAATGAACCAAGAACCTCAAGATCTCATCTGCCTCACATTTCGTTGCATCTTATTGATAATTCATTTTAAAAGAGCAAAAGTTCTTATGACACATTTCGGATGTGCCCATCCTTCGATTCGTTCGATGAAAACTTTCCCTTCGTAAGTCGAAAAAGGAAATCGACGATGTAAGAACTTCTGACTGGTGTCAGATTCTCAGAAAAATCATCCAGCATTATTTCTCGCGTAAGTCAGACAATACGACAATAAAAATAACAACATAACTTCTCAGTTGTTACCTATTTAACCTTGCGAAGGAAGGCCAACTCACAACGCCGTGCCTGTTAGGCAACCAATATGACACATCTGCTAGTCGGATAATCTAACAACGTAGGCGTTCCAATGCGCACTCACGTTCATCAGACGTTGAGTAAAAACATCACACAATGAAAACACATCGATATCAGAAATATTTATAGAATTTCATCATCAGGCTTGTAAAACGACATGTCACATGCCGAGGAAAAATATAAATTGTTTAAAAGTTACTAACCTCAAACACACGAGTTGCTAACCGTGTGGTTAGGAAGTTACAATGATCGTCCTTGGGCAAGGCGTTCATGTCAGTAACTGCATAACAATCTCCTGACTGCTATTTCATTTTTAAGTGGCCGTGATTACAGAACGAATTCAAATTGTTACACAAGCAACGTTCTTGTCATGACTTCGCAACTCAAGTAAATTCGCGGCTTTGCGCACGGAGCAAGTTTATCGGATGCCAAGCATTACTCGAAAAGTTATTTATCCCGTGGTTCATCACAGCTGAATTTTAGCCGCTTCATTCTGTTTTAACTCGTGGGTTGGACTTTCAGGTTTGTTCCATCCACCTAAGTCTTGATCTCTGCGTCTCATTCTGGGCAAACTCCTTTAGCTCGTAAACCAGGCGTCACCTGAAAAAATCCATCCGGAGGACATACGGTGACTAGAGCAGTTCGCTGGGGTATCTCGAGACTTCCACATAAAAGGTAAAGATGAAATCTGGTGTGCGCGCAAACACGGAACCCGAAAGTCTCCTTCGCAAAAATCAAGAAGGCGGTGTTCCGTAGGAGCTAATGTATCAGTTCCCCTGGCGAATACGTAAAGAAATACAGGGTGTTTGTATTTTCCCTTGTTCTTTTGGACGTATGTGTAGGAAGAATCAATACCACTGCAATACGCCCTCGAAAGTTGCGTAATTAACACTTTGAAAATCAGTCTGCAAAATTGGGGTGACACGCATTGGGAAGATGTTTGTAGCAAATTTCGTGAAAATCTGTCATTTGGTTAAGGCGTAGTGCATGATACCAAAACATTTTATATCCTGTGAGAAATTCTTCTGTCTCCATTCCATGCCGTCCAATCTGGTGGATATTATAAGACCATAATATAATCTTTAAAGTGAAAAAGATTTACCTCTGTTCCGTTGCTAGATAACCATACGCGGTTTAATGCATAAAGCGATCTACTTAGTACTTTCGAGCCCTATCGCTATGCGGCGCCTCGATCAGCCCATATATTCGTGTGAAGCAGCCTATTAAAGATGTCGGTATTTCTGACAGGGCGGCCACTACACTAAAAAATAATTCGAAGACAACAATAACGTCTTACGTAAGTCTGAGACAGCTCCAGGGTAATCAGTCATCACACGTCCCACATGCGTCAAACAATGCCATTTCCGGTTCTGAAAGCAGCTGTATATGAAGGTATGCAAAAATATTACACCCAAAATGACACTCCCCTTGCATAATAATTCTGTTAGTCAGAAGGCTTCAAAAACGTAACACGGATTGGTCTGTCCCAGTGTTTAAAGCTAGTGTACGGTTCCATTTGGCTTTTTTCCCCCGCTCTGGGGCCCCAATTGTCACTGTCTCACCTGTTTTAATAATTAGTAACTCTTAATTTCGTATTTACGTGTTTTGTTTCATTCTCACTGTAACCAACGTTAACCAGTTGATCTTAGTAACGGTGAAGAGTTGGGTTTTCTTCGCGGTACGGACTGAAATCTTAAATACGTAATATTTAGACGAGCTTTGACTTCAAAAGGTTAACCAGTTGATCTTTGTAATGGTGAAGAGTTGGGTTTTCTTTGCGGTACGGACTGAATTCTTAAATATTATTTACACACGCTTCGGCTTCAGAAGTTGCTCTCCTGCCTTCGCCAGGTAAAACCACGGATCCTAACCAGTTTGATCCATTTATTTAAAATTCAACGTATTTAAAGACGATGCAAGTATCTCGTAGTATGGTGTATGGTGACAGGATGATTATACATGGAAATAATACATAAGGAAGTGGCCGTGGCCTAATATAATGTATTATTCTGGAATTTTCCGTGAGGTACTGAGGAACGCCATTAACCTCAGTCAGGAAAGTTGACTTCGGGGGCTGAGCCCCAAGTTCTGCTTCTTCATGATTAGTATCAATTATTATATTCGAAATCTTTAATTTATACAAAAATCAAATCGACTCTCTTCGCCTTAATAATAGTCCTATATGGAATGTGCTATTTTTTGGTAACATCTGAAGATAAAGACAATACACAAACGAGAAATTGGCTTTCGAGACACAATTTTTTTTTTTGATCAATTTTCATTCGTTACTATTTGGGTCATCGCTGTTTGCGGTTTCATATTCCGAGCAAAATGAACCAGTTTCAGTTAACCACGTTTATTGAACGTACACACAAAGAAAATGACGCTTTCACGAAAGACAGTCGTGCAACCGGAACTGAGCGCTACAAGGGAGGGTACGGGGTGTGTGAGAACTAAACTACTGTTGCTTTACAAACGATGGGAATTGTGTCACACGAAATAATAGGAATATTTGAGAAAACCTAACTCTCATGAGAAACGCTCCATTTCACCTCATAGTTACAATGCGTGTTTATCTGACAAGAGAACGTCGTGGTTTGTTCTTATAAACAGACAACGCAGAAGACTACAAATGGGATTTTATAACTCCATTTCCTGACATCGGAGTTCACGTACTTGCAGAACTGCGTAGATCAGATAACTGACCCCAAGGACGTTACAGAATGGCAAATCCTGAGATTAAATATCCCGTCTCCAATTTTAATATCCCTACATCGAAGTTGCAACAACTTTCTCTTATTGTGTAAGTTAAAACAATACGCGAAAGAATTTCCAGCCCTGTTTCTCCAAAGAAAAGAAAATATTACGAACTGATTATCTGTCACCGAAATATCTCAGCACATGAGACTCTGTGTAACAGTAATGCCGTTAGCTGCCAGCCTTGTTTCAATTTACGACATGGCCGATTTAAACATGATAATAGTGCGAATTATAAGGACATCTGGCGTACGGCCCTGAAAATGTTTACGAGAATAACGAGGTACAACCCAGTGGAAAAGATTCCTTTCTTAGAAGCTAACAGTTTCTCAGCTAATCTGTGAACTATCTGTCTTCAAAATAAACTTATCGAGGGTTCGTTACAGCTTTCACAATATTTTAACATTGTCCTCTATTCTGAGTCAGACGAATCCTGCCCGATACACACCTCAGTTCCTTGAGATCGACTTTTAGTCTACTTTCCTTTGTTAAAAAAGTAGACTTCTGATTTTACGTGTCCTGTGTGCCGCAGATCCAACTTTTGAACCACGTGACCATTTTAAAGTTACCTGGTATGTCACTGGAGGTCAACCCAAACACGAATTCCTCAATTTCCTACGCTCAATGCAAATTAGAACTCGCGATGTACGAGCGACACTTATTAATGCAAAAATGTTCTTTGGCTCCTGGTCTAATATCGATAACTAACGAACCACTGGAGACCTACATTTAAATCTCAGTATGGAGACCATAAACATACAAATTACGCATAAACATTCCTTTGAAAGTTAAGAATTACAAACATGGCGACGGTGCAAATATTTCAGCTTATATCTGACGCTTTGAAGGATTTATTTCAACCAGCCTAATAAAAAAGAATCGATTAAAGAACAAAAGACGTCTTCGAGAAGTCGAGAATCGATCATTTAATCGAGATATTATCGCTTTTTATGCAACCCGAACGTTCATTACCGTGTTAATAACAGGTCTCTACGTGTCATTTGAGTTTTCTCCCAACAAATTAACATAATCGGCCTAAACCATATTCAAGCTGATATAATTGAAGGTACAAAACTGTAACATCACTTGTTATTTTCCAAAGGTGTGAAATTATTTTCGTACATTCGTATTTTAACTTTCTTTTATTTATTATAATTTACAATGTTACTTACTGTATCAATATTCATATTAAAGTACATTGGATTCCGGTTATTTGGAACGCATCGGGACTAGAACACTTTAA